TTTGTTTTGTTTTCGAATGTTTAATATAATTTGTTTAAGGAGTTTTTGTGTTTAAGGACTGGTAGGTGGAGGAAGAAAGGAAGGAAGGAAGGAAGGAAGGAAGGAAGGAAGGAAGGAAGGAAGGAAGGAAGGAAGGAAGGAAGGAAGGAAGAAGGAGGCAGAAGAAAAATAAGGAAGTAAAAAGATGGAGGAGGAGGAGGAGAATGGGATGAGGAGAAGGAAGAAGGTGCAAGGAAGAGAAGAGGGTGGAAAAGAAAGAGGGTGGAAGGAAGAGGAGAAGAGGGTGGAAGGAAGAGGAGAAGAGGGTGGAAGGAAGAGGAGAAGAGGGTGGAAGGAAGAGGAGAAGAGGGTGGAAGGAAGAGGAGAAGAAGGTGAAAACAGAAAGAGAAGAATAGAAACAGGAGGAGGAGGATAGAAGTGAAGGAAAAGGAAGAGGAGGAGTAATTGTATGTCTTGCCGCATGTGTCCCTGTGGCGCTATTGAGAGAGAGAGAGAGAGAGAGAGAGAGAGAGAGAGAGAGAGAGAGAGAGAGAGAGAGAGAGATAGACTTGTTCTATCACTTTCCTCCTCCCTCTCTTCTTATCTTTCTCTCCTTCTCTTTCTCCTCTCTTGTCTCCGCCACCCTCCTCACCACCTTCTCTCCTCCCACCCCCTTATCTCCCTACCACCCCCCTCCAACCTCTCCTCATTCTCCTCCCTCCCACTCCCTCTCCCTCCCTACCTCCCTCCCTCATCTCCCTTTTTCTCTCCTCCCTTTCCTCTCTCCTCCCTTCCTCCTCCTACCTCTCCTCCTCCTCCTAGCCAAGAGTGAGGGAGACAGTTCAGTGTATTCATAATCTTGTTAAGGTCCAGTAACCAACCTGCACCGTCCCCATAAACTGACTGACTGACTGATACAGTAGATGGACTGACTAGACTGACTGACTGACTGACTGGACTGACTGACTGACTGACTGACTGGATGACCGGACTGACTGACTGACTGGATAGACTGACTGACTGACCGACTGACTGACTTGCTGATCTTACCTAACACAACCAATGACCAGCAACTTCTCGCAACCACCATTGTGTGTGTGTGTGTGTGTGTGTGTGTGTGTGTGTGTGTGTGTGTGTGTGTGTGTGAGATAGACAGACAGACAGAAAAAAATACCAGTATCACATAATTTCCTTGACCTCTGAGATCTGTTTAATTAGATCTTGCGGTAATTTACTGTCCTGGACTGGAACAACACACCTGGACTGGAACAACACACCTGGACAACACACCTGACTGAACACACCTGGACTGGAACAACACACTGACTGGAACAACACACCTGGACTGGAACAACACACCTGGACTGGAACAACACACCTGGACTGGAACAACACACCTGGACTGGAACAACACACCTGGACTGGAACAACACACTGGACTGGAACAACACACCTGGACTGGAACAACACACCTGGACTGGAACAACACCCTGGACTGGAACAACACACCTGGACAACAACACACCTGGACTGGAACAACACCTGGACTGGAACAACACACCTGGACTGGAACAACACACCTGGACTGGAACAACACACCTGGACTGGAACAACACACCTGGACTGGAACAACACACCTGGACTGGAACAACACACCTGAACTGGAACAACACACCTGGACTGGAACAACACACCGGACTGGAACAACACACCTGACTGGAACAACACACCTGGACTGGAACAACACACCTGGACTGGAACAACACACCTGGACTGGAACAACACACCTGACTGGAACAACACACCTGGACTGGAACAACACACCTACTGGAACAACACACCTGGACTGGAACAACACACCTGACTGGAACAACACACCTGAACTGGAACAACACACCTGGACTGGAACAACACACCGGACTGGAACAACACACCTGAACTGGAACAACACACCTGAACTGGAACAACACACCTGGACTGGAACAACACACCTGAACTGAACAACACACCTGGACTGGAAACACACCTGAACTGGACACACTGACTGGAACAACACACCGAACTGGAACAACACACCTGGACTGGAACAACACACCTGGACTGGAACAACACACCTGGACTGAACAACACACTGACTAAACAACACACCTGGACAACAACACACCTGGACTGGAACAACACACTGACTGGAACAACACAACTGGAACAACACACCTGGACTGGAACAACACACCTAACTGGAACAACACACCTGGACTGGAACAACACACCTGAACTGGAACAACACACCTGAACTGGACACACACCTGAACTGGAACAACACACCTAAACTGGAACAACACACCTGAACTGGAACAACACACCTGAACTGGAACAACACACCTGAACTGGAACAACACACCTGAACTGGAACAACACACCTGGACTGGAACACAAAGGGAACACAAAAGGCACCAGACAACACCTGTTCATGACCTCGATAGTAAAGACTCTACAAAAGACATACACTATAACGGGGTTCCTTCATTCAGGCTTCAATTTACAGGTAGGATTTTTGTAGGAGGCTTCATAATTACGGAAACCCGTATTAGGACGCTGTATGTTAAGATTACGTTAGGTTAGGTTGGGTTAGGTAGTTAGGGAAGGTCATGTTAGGTCAAGTTAGGGGAAGGTCATGTTAGGTCAAGTTAGGGGAAGGTAATGTTAGGTCAAGTTAGGGGAAGGTCATGTTAGGTCAAGTTTGGGAAGGTGAGTTTATGTTAGGGGAAGGTCATGTTAGGTTAGGGAAGGTCATGTTAGGTTAGGGGAAGGTCATGTTAGGTGAGGGGAAGGTCATGTTAGATTAAAGCTACGAAAAGGTCAACTTAATCCATCTACTGTATTTACACCACAACCACTCATGACCATTCTCCACCTAACCAATACAGAGGTCAATACACAAGACTGAAATATTACGAAAAAACACGAAAAACTAACTTGAAAAACGACTACTTTTCTTACCTCTATTGTTATCGTTCAGCACCGTAACTCTCATCACCTACTGAATGATCCTTGCCTTAGGATTACACTCCCTCGGGTGGTAAAAATACCCTCAGATAGTCAGGAAAGGCGGGTACTTGACGTTGTGTTAAGGCTTCCAGTCTCCCTTAATGGTCGTCTCTCTCTCTCTCTCTCTCTCCGGTGTGTGTGTGTGTGTGTGTGTGTGTGTGTGTGTGTGTGTGTGTGTGTGTGTATGACTAGACTCTAATGTGTGAGGTGAGCAGACAAGGCACAGAAGAGGGAGGAGGAGGAGATGTCTGTGGGCAGTCTGCTGGCTTCCGTGGTGTGTGTGTGTGTGTGTGTGTGTGTGTGTGTGTGTGTGTGTGTGTGTGATAAACCCAAATATCCTTCCTTCTCCTCCACAACACGTAATATCTCTCACTCCCTCATATCTCGTTCTCTGGTCTCCGTCTCTAATAGAAAACTTACCACACATCTGGCCAGCTGCTTCACCTGTAGGCCAAGGCTGGTGTTTACCTGTTGTCTTATTCTCCCCCTCAGTGTGGTAAGCCTGTTTGTTGTGTTTACGTTACTGATAGTGTCTCTCTCTCTCTGTTTATCCTTTCCTTTCTCTCTCTCTCTCTCTCTGTTTATCCTTTCCTTTCCTTTCCTCCTTTCTAACTCTCTTTCTCTCTCTCTCTTGTTTATCCTCTCTTCAGCCTTTTCTAACTCTCTCTCTCTGTTTATCCTTTCCTTTCCTTTCCTCCTTTCTAACTGTCTCTCTCTCTCTGTTTATCTTCTCCTTTCAGCCTTTCTAACTTTCCTTTCATCATTCTTTTTTCTTCCTTCCCTTCAATCACTCTATTCTTCCCTCCCTCTCTCCTTTCCATCTACTTCTTTCACTATCTTTTTCTTCTTTCCTCCTTCTCACTCTCCCATTCACTTTCTAGCTTTCTCCTTTCTATCCTTTCCTTCTTCCCTCCCCCACTCCTTCCATTCTCTTTCCTTTCATCATAACAGCTCTAGAGAGAGAGAGAGTCGACAACACAGCACCAGGAAGTGAAGGAGCTGCTCTGCTAATCATGACCTTAAAAGGCTTTGTTAACCTTGTTCTCTCTCTCTCTCTCTTTATCCAGTGTTTGTTTTCTTGAGGTTTTTATCGTGTTTTCTATCCCCTTTTCACTCTCTTTCTCTGTTGTCGTCTCTCTCTTCTTTTACTTAAAAAAATAAATCCCTTCTCTCTCTTTTGTTTTTGTTGATTTTTCTAATTAATTGGGTCATCTCTCTCTCTCTCTTTATTACAACCCATTTAAGCAATACAAAATCGACGCACTGCTTGAGGTCAAAATGGCGTCAAAATTCCACTGGGACTGGACCTTACGAACAGCTGAATAGGCCCCAGTCCTAATAGGCCCCAGTCCTAATAGGCCCCAGTTTAACTAAGTACCAATGTGTACTTCTAATGGGCTTCATCCAATTGTAATGGATAAATTAGGTTATGTTAGGACTGGGGCCTATTTGTACTGGGGCCCATTAGGACTGGGGCCCATTAGGACTGGGGCTCTATAAGAAATGGGGCCTATTATGACCGGGGCCTATTTTGACCGGGGCCCATTATAACCGGGGCCTATTATGACCGGGGCCTATTTTGACCGGGGCCTATTATGACCGGGGTCCATTAGAACTTCAACCTCTTAATTCCACGTCAATAGATAAATGCCTGACATCAACGCTGACACATCAACATTCACCTGACACCAACGCTGACAGCCCACACCTCACCTGACACCAACGCTGACACCCTACGACACACCTGACACCCTACGACTCACCAGAGCAGCGACAACCAACACTCACCTGACAACCAACACTCACCTGACGGCCCACACCTCACCAGACAGCGACACAACCAACACTCACCTGACACCCTACCACTCACCTGACACCCTACCACTCACCTGACACCCCACACCTCACCAGACAGTGACACAACCAACACTCACCTGACACCCCACACCTCACCAGACACCACCAACACTCACCTGACATCCGTGCTGACGAGTTGGGTCCTTCTCAAGATCGCTCTGGCCTGGGAGTTAGTAATGTGTCTCATAGATTCATTGTTTACACTCAGGATAAAGTCCCCAGCGTGCAGCCGACCGTCCTTGTGCACAGCGCCGTTCCTGACCAGAGATGAGACGACTACCCCGTTCACACCTTGGTCCACCACCTCGATGTTCACCCCTGTGGATAGATGGATAGATTGGTGGATGGATAGATGGATACCTGGATAAATACATGAATGGTTGAATAAATAGATACATGAATGACTGGATGAATTGAAAGATAGATGGATAGACACAGATTGACAGATTACATCACACACACACACACACACACACACACACACACACACACACACACACACACACCTCAGCCTTCTTCGGGTAAGGACGTGTGCAGTCGGCGCTGCCCGCTAACGCGGCCGTGGTCTCTTGACCATGGAGACAGCTGCCAGCCCGGTCTGTCGGGCTCTCCCCTTCCCCATCTCCTCCTTCCCATCTGGATATATCAACAACCTCACACCAACAGTACAGTGCAAAGATTGACGATTAACCCACAAGTGATATAGAAAAGTGGCAATTTCAACTCGAAGGAAAAGCTCAAAAACACAGCAATACTGATTGTGACTGGATCTGACCTAACCTGACCTCACAGCTTCACCTGACGTAACCTGAAGGATGGAGCACACCTGCATTGCCCCAAGCTACTGTCCTGGCCACACACCAGCCCATACGAGCACGAACTGGTTGCTACAAGAACAGCCCAGTCCCAACCATTGTAAAAATTAGCAACACCTAATTATTATATGTCATATTTGTATCACTTATGTTACTTGTACATCATTTGTAAATCAAGAGACCCATTCCCCAATTATGTAATTGTATATTTTCAGCCTTCCGGCTGCCATGCTCTTTCAATAAACCGTTAATTATTATTATTATTATTATTACACACACACACACACACACACACACACACACACACACACACACATACACACTACATATCCTAAACATCAGACAACTTAAGACACACTAACACAATGTAAACAATGACTCGGCAAAAAAATTACGTAAATACCAATATTTTTTTCTCTTCTAAAAGTTGATTTCCAAAAGTTTTTGTGATTTTTTTTTACTACGGGGATGATAATAAAGGCAAAGGATTAGGTAAAATTGGCGATGAAATAAATAAAAATAGATAATTTGAAGGAATAGAAAGACGCGAATAAATTATGTAAGAAGGGAAATGGTAGAAAATTTTACTAATTATAAAAAACAGGAATTATTAACACGACCGATATGGAAGAGGAAATAAAAAGCGGAATAAAAGAATAAAAAGGAAATACCAGTAAATAAACAATAAATAACAATAACAAACAAAATAACACAAAAATAACAACAAAAATAACAAGGAAGGCGGCAAAACTCTAACAAAGAAAACGAGAAAAGAATAAGGGGATACTCACCTAGTTGGTCGGCGCCTTTCTTGATTTTAATGTTTCTCTCCAGCTCCTTAGGGAAACCGGGGATTTGGGCGGTCCACCTAGACAATTTTGGGGATGATTGTGGTGTCCCCAAGTCCTCCTCCCCACTTACCCCGCCGCCACCTGTTCAAAACCAAATTCAAAGACATGTTAGAATTATAATGGAAGAATTTGATGTAATTGGTCAAGTTTTAGATTCAAATGCGATGTTAAAAGCTGTGTGTGTGTGGAGGGGGGGGGTTACTTGTGGCGTGGTTGTGTGTGGCGTGGCTGTGTGTGGCGTGGTTGTTTGTGGCGTGGTTGTGTGTGGCGTGGTTGTGTGTGGCATGGTTGTGTGTGGCGTGGTTGTGTGTGGCGTGGTTGTGTGTGGCGTGGTTGTGTATTGGGGCGTGGTTGTATTATTGGCGTGGTTGTGTGTGGTGTGGTTGTGTGTGGCATGGTTGTGTGTGGCGTGGTTGTGTGTGGCGTGGCTGTGTGTGGCGTGGTTGTTTGTGATGTGGTTGTGTGAGGCATGTCTGAGTGAGGCGTGGCTGCGTGTCGACTGTCGTGGCTGAGTGGAGCGTGGCTATATGTGTCGTAGATATGTACTGCGTGGTTGTGTTGGACGTCGCTGTGTGTGTGTGTCGTAGTTATATGAAGGGCGTGGCTGTGTGGGGCATGGTTATACGAGGGGTGGCTATGATGGGTGTGCCTGTGTGTGGCGTGGTTAAATGAGGCGTGGCTGCGTGGGGCGTGGTTATGAGGCGTGGCTGCGTGGGGTCGTGGTTATATAGGGCGTGGCTGCGTGGGGACGTGGTTATATGAGGCGGCGTGGCTGCGTGGGGCGTGGTTATATAGGCGTAATGCGTGGGAATAGTTATATGAGGGGATTATATGATGGGTCTGAACAAATAGCGAGGAGAGAAGATAAAGAGCAATTAAACTAAGGGACATAAGGTAAACCATTAAGGTGTAGTACAGGTATCATCACCATAATTAGAGTCACTCCACACACACACACACACACACACACACACACACACACACACACACACACACACACAGTTATTATACCTATACTTTAAGTTAGAATCGTTCATAAAAGAAAACAAAAAACACCGAAAAAACCTAACCTAACCAAACCAAAGGTAACCTAATCTAACCAAACCAAAGGTAACCTAATCTAACCAAACCAAAGGTAACCTAATCTAACCAAACGTAACCTAATCTAAACTCAATGAACGTCGGGATGGGAACGAGAAATTGAGTAAATAAACTAAGTCAAGAGTTAAATTCTGTAAGTTAAACGACACGAGTCTTTCAAATTACGAAAAGTAAATTTTTTTTATACTGAAGTTACTAAAATAATCTTACGACCTTACTCGTTAAGTGGATAATGATGGAACGTCAATATTGCACGCTGGGGAAATAGCAAACTGAAATAAATGGCAATATTGCACGTCAGGGAGGGGAGGGGAGGGGAGGAGGAGGGAGAATTGACAAAGGGTCAGGCGAGGAGTGGAGGGAGAGAGAGAGGGAGAGTAGGGGAGGGTGGGGGAGAGGAAAGGAAGGGGAGGGAGAAGAAAAGAGAAGTGAAGAAGAGAGAAAACGAGAAGAGAAGGGACAGGAAGAGTAGGGGAGAGGAGAATGAAGAGAGGGGAACAAACAGAGAATCAAAGGAGACGAAACAACAGGCAGGGGAATCACCCAACACAGCGCCCCTCTCCCGTGTGTCGATACAAGGACGACCCTCACCCTCGACCCTGACCCTCACCCTCGACCCTTACCCTCACCCTCCCCTTACCCTCCACCTCCACCTATTCTCACCCTCCTCCTCCACCTTCACCCTCCAACTCCATCCTCGACCCTCACCCTCCACCTCAATAAACACTCGGGGTACAGAAGAGCCTCGACTCACAACACAAAAACTCAACTGTACTCGAGGCGGAGACAAACCCACACGGGATACATACATACATAGAAACATGCATACATTAAAACATACACACATAATGGTTGCCCCTCGTGTAACGAGGATGGCCGGCCCAAGGGCCACCTAGGAGTGAATTTGTTGAAGGTGTAGAAGCTGTCGCCAACACAACAACCACACCCTGAGTTAACGAACTGCATGACCCAGTGTTTAAGGTGTAGAAGCTGTCGCCAACACAACAACCACACCCTGAGTTAACGAACTGCATGTCCCAGTGTTTAAGGTGTAGAAGCTGTCGCCAACACAACAACCACACCCTGAGTTAACGAACTGCATGACCCAGTGTTGAAGGTGTAGAAGCTGTCGCCAACACAACAACCACACACTGAGTTAACGAACTGCATGACCCAGTGTTGAAGGTGTAGAAGCTGTCGCCAACACAACAACCACACCCTGAGTTAACGAACTGCATGACCCAGTGTTGAAGGTGTAGAAGCTGTCGCCAATACAACAACCACACCCTGAGTTAACAGACTTGCATGTCCCAGTGTTTAAGGTGTAGAAACTCGTAACACAACAACCACACCCTGGGTGCAGAACTGCACTGACAGTGTTGAAGGGTGTAGAGGCATGTAACACAACAACCACCCTGGAGTTAATGACAGACTGCATTGAAAGTGTTTTAAGGTGCCAGAAGCTGTCGCCCAACACAGCAACCCACACCCTGAGTTAACGAACTGCATGACCCAGTGTTTAAGGTGTAGAAGCTGTCGCCAACACAACAACCACACCCTGAGTTAACGAACTGCATGACCCAGTGTTTAAGGTGTAGAAGCTGTCGCCAATACAACAACCACACCCTGAGTTAACGAACTGCATGACCCAGTGTTTAAGGTGTAGAAGCTGTCGCCAACACAACAACCACACCCTGAGTTAACGAACTGCATGACCCAGTGTTTAAGGTGTAGAAGCTGTCGCCAACACAACAACCACACCCTGAGTTAACGAGCTGCACGACCCAGTGTTTAAGGTGTAGAAGCTGTCGCCAACACAACAACCACACCCTGAGTTAACGAGCTACATGCCCCAGTGTTTAAGGTGTAGAAGCTGTCGCCAACAAAACAACCACACCCGAAGTTAACGAACCCAGTGTCAAGGAATAGTCCGAGAAGACCGGACAACTCGCCAACTGCACTGGCTAACCATTACCCCGGAACACGATCCGAAAATCGATTAACATCCAGGTTCCCAATTACTGCTGGGTAGACAGAGGCAAATGGCGTAAAGAAACCTGCCCATATTTTCACTCTGCCTGGGGATCGAACCCGGGTCCACTAGCTTGCGAGGCGAGCATGCTAACCATTACACCACAGGTCGCCATACATACATTAAAACATACATTAATACATTCATACATATATACATGCAGACTATCATCATACACAAATACACTAAGTATAAACATCCGAGACCTTTACATTACCTAAACATACAACCAAAACAAACACAACAAACACACACACAAACACAACACTGGCTGCCCTCCCCACACACCCACGAAACAAAAGGAATAAAAGGGGAGAAACATGGATAAAGGGAGGAGAGGGAGAAGAGAGGAAGAGGGAGGAGTGGGGGAAGAGGGAAGGGAGAGGGGGAAAGAGGGAGGGAAGGGAGGGAGGAAGGAAGGGAGGGAGGGGGAGGGAGGGGAAGGGGGAAAGAGGGAGGGGAGGGAGAGAGAAGAGGGAGGGAGAAGAGGAGAGGGAAGAGGAGGGAGAGGGGGGAAGAGGAGGGGAGACGGGGGAAGAGGGAGGGAGAGGGGGAAGAGGAGGAGACGGGGGGAGGAGGGGGAGGGAGGGAAGATGGAGGGGGAGGGGAAGAGGGGGGGAGGAGGGGGGGAAGAGGGGAGACGGGGAAGAGGAGGGGGGAGGGAGGGGGGAAAGAGGGGGAGACGGGGGGGAAGGGAGGAGAGGGGGGGAAGAGGGAGGGAGACAGGGGAAGAGGGAGGGAGACGAAGAGGAGGGAGAGGGAGGGGGGAGGGGAAGGGAGGAGGGAAGAAGAGGAGGAAGGAGGGAGAGAAAAGAAAGGGGACTTGAAAAACACGTGAAATTCCTATTAAAAGCGACAGACAGACCCAAAGCGACAGACAGACCGACAGAGGCCAAGGTGATTCATAAGATGACTCTCTTTAATGCGGGGTATAAAAATATTAGGAAATTAGATCAAAAAATAGAAGAAAGAATAAATAAGAAAGATGGAATAAGGAAAATGTGATGATAATGGAATAAATGAAGAAATGGTGATAAAATGTAATTAGGATTAACGAAGATTGGTTTAAACGATACAGGAAGAAGGAACATAACTAGTTAAAAGTACACAGGGAAATATATCCAGCTACATGATTGGTTGAGATAATCAAAACAAAAGATTCAAGGAATACGATTGGCCAAACTAGAGAGGAACAAGGAACATGATTGGCTTTAATTACAACAGCAACAAGAAACATGACTGACTCAAAGAATCAAAACAAACTAATCAAAGAACCCGATTGGCTTAAAATAACAAAGAAAACGAACCGAACAACGTGATTGGCTGAGAGATAGATACGTCACAATGTTAAAATAAATAACCCTGTGATTGGCTGAGAGCTAGATACGTCACAATGTTAGGAGAAAAAAAACCCTGTGATTGGCTGAGAGCTAGATACGTCACAATGTTAGGAGAAAAACTGTGATTGGCTGAGAGCTAGATACGTCACAATGTTAGGAGAAAAAAACTCTGTGATTGGCTGAGAGCTAGATACGTCACAATGTTAAAAAAAAAAACCCTGTGATTGGCTGAGCTAGATACGTCACAATGTTAAAATAAATAACTCTGTGATTGGCTGAGAGCTAGATACGTCACAATGTTAATAAGAAAACCCCCTGTGATTGGCTACTGACCTTGAGAAGCGCCGTGCGGTGCAGTGGGCGGGTGGGTGGTGGTGAGAGTGGTGGTGAAGGGCTGGGACGATGGTGGTAGTGGTGATAGTTGTGGTTGTAGGTCCGCTGCCTATGTGGTTCAGTCATCTACAGGAACCATCAACACTGAAGCCTGTAATGGTGGGGAGAAGGTGGCGTTAGTGTTATGAGTTGATGGGGAATGTGGAGGGGAGGAATGTTGGGGAGAATGTTGGGGAGGAAGGGGAATGTTGGGGAGGAGGGGGAATGTTGGGGAGGAGAGGGGGAATGTTGGGGAGGAAGGGGAATGTTGGAGGGGATGGGAACGATGGGGGTACTTCCATTAACAGGAAATAACAACATTCATATTTATGGTGCAAGATCTTGGTAGTATACAGTATGGTAGTTATGGTACTTTAAACAACTACCATGGGGCCAATTCATTAGATATGGGAGTGGGTAATGGTAGAATGGTATTGTAAAGTCCTGGTAATTTTGAGTCAATAATGGTAGTTTTTAGTGAATAATGGTAGTATTGTATTGTAAGTCCTGGGAAAAAAGTCAAAACACATATGGTAGTGAGGTATGGTAGCAAGGTATTTTAATTGCCATGGAGTAAACTCATAAATATGGTACAGCAATGGTAGCGGTAAATTTTAATATATTTCATGGTGATATATGGTAGTGAATTATGGTATTACTATGTTTTAAATACCATGGCGGAAAATTCATCACCAATATGGTAGTTAAGCCATTATGGTATGGTATGGTATTTTGAGTAACGCCATAAAGGGAAAATTCATATAAATTTCTTAACAATGAGTAGTTAATTGTCCAACTACTGAATGAGGTGGTTAATGAGGATGCCAAATTAGGTGTAACTTAAACAGGTTAATTAAAGGTGGAATAATAACCTAATTAAGACATTAAATTATTATTATTATTATTATTATTATTATCATCATATATGTTGGTTGTTTTAATAAAATAATAATAATAATAATAATAATAATAATAATAATTTTACACTCAATGTTTATCAAAAATTTTAATAATGTGTCACATCTTATGGCCAACTCGACACACTGCCGGACAAATAACAAGATATGACACATTCTTTGTCAGGAACCAAGACACTGAAACATTCTGTGTCAGGATATAATGGATCATTCTGTCAGGATATAATGGAACATTCTGTCAGGATATAATGGAACATTCTGTCAGGATATAATAGATCATTCTGTCAGGATATAATGGAACATTCTGTCGGGATATAATGGAACGTTCTGTCAGGATATAATGGAACATTCTGTCAGGATATAATGGATCATTCTGTCGGGATATAATGGAACATTCTGTCAGGATATAATGGATCATTCTGTCGGGATATAATGGAACGTTCTGTCAGGATATAATGGAACATTCTGTCAGGATATAATGGATCATTCTGTCAGGATATAATGGAACATTCTGTCGGGATATAATGGAACGTTCTGTCAGGATATAATGGAACATTCTGTCAGGATATACGGATCATTCTGTCAGGATATAATGGAACATTCTGTCAGGATATAATGGAACATTCTGTCAGGATATAATGGAACATTCTGTCAGGATATAATGAAACATTCTGTCAGGATATAATGGAACATTCTGTCAGGATATAATGGAACATTCTGTCAGGATATAATGAAACATTCTGTCAGGATATAATGGAACATTCTGTCAGGATATAATGGAACATTCTGTCAGGATATAATGGATCATTGTCAGGATATAATGGAATCCAGGCCGCCGAAGCACTTAATGACACTAAGACAACATCAACAACAGACAGACACATTCTTCAGCAACACAAGACATTCTCCGTCAAGTGTTAACAACAGACCAACATTCCCTCAAACATTGTAGGCAACCATGACGGGTCATAACCACGGCGGGTCATAACCACGGCGGGTCATAACCACGGCGGGTCATAACTAAAGCGGGTCATAACCACGGCGGGTCATAAACCACTGCGGTCATAACCACGGCGGGTCATAACCACGGCGGGTCGGCGCAACCACCAGCGGGTCATAAACCACAGCGGGTCATAACCACGGCGGGTCATACCAGCCGCGGGTCATAACCAAAGCGTCATAACCACGGCGGGTCATAACCACGGCGGGTCATAACCACGGTGGGTCATAAACCACAGCGGGTCATAACGCCAAAGCGGGTCATAACCACAGCGGGTCATGTTCATGGCGGGTCATAACCACGGCGGGTCATAACCCCACGGCGGGTCATAACCACGGCGGGTCATAACCACAGCGGGTCATAACCACAGCGGGTCATAACCACAGCGGATCATAACCACAGCAATACAGATGTTATATTGACAGGTGTGTGTGTGTGAGTGAGAGAGAGAGAGAGAGAGAGAGAGAGAGAGAGAGAGAGAGAATGATTGTCTGTGTGTGTCCAAATATTAACCAAATTAACTATAACAGACAGACAGACACACACACTGCCATTATCACAACATAAAATCGCATGCCCAGTTAACACAAGTACAGTATGTAGTTTCATATCACAGTTTACCCCACGAGGAAAGTAGCAAAGTGTAGAAATTACCTTTAAACTTTCAAGTCATTTCTCTAAGTAATTATTCTATTAAATCGGTGTAATAAACTCCTATTCTAATTATAGGTTAAATAGGTTCATTATCTCACCAATTATAGGTTAAATAGGTTCATTATCTCACCAATTATAGGTTAAATAGGTTCATTATCTCATCAATTATAGGTTAAATAGGTTCATTATCTCACCAATTATAGGTTAAATAGGTTCTCACTAATTAAAGTTAATTATGTTATCTAACTAAATATAGGTAAGACATGTTAATTATCTCACTAATTATAGGTTAAATATGTTAATTATATCACTAATTATAGGTAAAATATGTAAATTACCTGACTAATTATAGGTATGGGTTAAATTACACAAGGAAACACCTGAACTTCACTCGAGGGAGGTGCAAACCCACTCCTTGGCGGTGCAGTTCTTCCAAGCTTTGACCGTGACCTTTGACCTCTAAGGGGGGGGGTGGGGTTGCCATGGTGACCACTAGAGGGCTATTATCAAACACACAAACTCTACGGTGACACAATAGGCACACGTGACGTCATACAATATGGCCGATGTTAATTGACTACCACGAACAAGATGGGTAAAATGATTTTTCTCTCGAACGTCAAAATTTAACCTCACCAAAATTTAACAACAATCATTAGGTTAATAAATAAATAAAAATAGTTCAGCAGTCATGTTCGTGGTAATTTTCCAATATCGGCCATGAGTAGATATCACAATGTTCTATGCAGTACAAGTCACGAATCTAGGGTGTGACTGTAGCTCGGGTGAGGCAGATAACACAAGATAACACGGGTCTGGAGATAACACACACTGTGGAGATAACTCGCTATAGTGAACATAATGTGAATTTTAAGACATCTGTAACTAGTAAGGTGAGTACGCTTGCCAGGGTCAGAATGCTAATAAACATCAATTCTAGAGTTGAGTATTGATGTTATAACCTAATGTGAATCAACCTAACCTGATACTATGAATCAACCTAACCTAACCTAACCTAACCTGATACTATGAACTGACCCAACTTTCATATCACTTTTTACTTAAATCCTAACCTAACCTCATATCACTTTACTTAAACCTAAATTTAACTTACTAAACTTAACCAGGAGTGGATTGAGGAAAGGCTGAAATCAGGTTTAGGTCAGGTTGAGGTCAGGCTTAGGTCAGGTTTGGGTCAGGTTCGGGTCAGGTTTGGTTATATTAGTTTAAGTTGGGTTAGTTTAGGTTAGGTTGAGTTACATTTGGTTAGGTTAGGTTGGACCTACCATTTGACCAGCTCGTAAACACACACACACACACACACACACACACACACACACACACACAAGAACATAAGAAAATAAGGAGTCTGCAATAGGCCGGTTGGCCTGTGCATGGCAGCTCCTGTCGAGAGTTACTACCACTCTCTATCATCCATGAATCTATCCAGCCTCCTTTTGAAACCTTCCAGAGTTCCAGCACTTACTACAAAGTTGCTAAGCTTGTTCCACTCGTCCACCACCCTATTTGTGAACCAGTTCCTTCCTATCTCCCTCCTAAACCTAAACTTATCCAACTTAAATCCGTTGCTCCGAGTCCTATCCTGCTCGGATATTATAAGAACTTTATCTATCTCCCCTTTATTGATTCCTTTCACCCACCCCTAAATACTTCTATCACACACACACACACACACACACACACACACACACACACACACACACACACACACACACAACACACACACACACACACACACACACAGCACACACACACACACACACACACACACACACACACACACACCTGGAACGTGACAATACTCTTGAAAGAGGGAAGCCACGTGTGTGTGCCATCAAAGGAACTCCCTCAATTCCCTGACCCCCTCCTTACCCCTGGCACTCCCACCTCCACCCCCTCCCTCCCCACACACGCACCACAGTAAATCCTCCTGGGGGGTGCACGACTAAGGGGCATACTATCAAACACAAAGCGTCTATTTTCATACTTTTGACAATAGTTTTCACGCCTGAATACACACACACACACACACACTACATTCACCGCTGCTTTAACACAGTCATGTAGTCTACCATGGTGTTCCCCTCCACTAAGAACTTTTAAATCTCTATTGTATTTTAATTTAAGCCTATATCCATGTTACAGATGTATTAATAACTGGTTTTTTTTATGTATTTGTAACATTACATAGACTTACTGAAATCCCCAAGCGTCCTTAGCAACCGCTACAAATCGCAGATGATGATTGGTTGTTGGTTGCCAAGGGAGTCGCCCACCTAGCAACCAACAGCCAATCAACGTTTAAGAAATAATAATGGTTGCCAAGGACGCTCTAATGGGGGCGGAGCTTAAGAGATGAACCCGGAAATAAACATGGCTTAAAAACAACAAACTTTAATGGACTCGAAAGTAATTATATTAAAAAAACTAATAATTTACTCTACCTAAAAATAAACTTTACTTATTTATTCACTTGCCTTGTTTATTATTGACCTTAGTATTAGGTTTTAAGTACGAGCTTCAATAATAATAATAATAATAATAATAATAATAATAATAATAATAATAATAAAAACAACAATAATAATAACAATTTAACACTAATAAAAAAAACAACTACTAACAACAACCTAACCTAATGCCACAGTCTTAAAACCCAAACAATCTTTATAAAGTCACAAGGTCAAGCAACACCTGAGACCGGAAGCTAATTACCTGACCTTTAATCAACATAGTTATTAAGGAGTTTACCTTTGATGATGAAAGGTCAAAGGTCAAGGTACGTCGATGACTTGGTATATGGTGAAGATAACGAAAACCTATTATAACTTACTACTACTGGGACTACTATTAATAATAATGGTAATAATAATAAAATAATGATGATAATGATAAAATAAATTAAAAATTGTCAAGATAACAATACTAAAACTTCTACTAATAATAATACCACAGCAGTAACTATAATAATAACAACAACAACAACAGTAACAATAATAATAATAATAATAATAATAATAATAATAATAATAATAATAATAATAATAAACCAAACACACTTAAACCAGAAGGCGCAGAGATAAAAACATTCCTGGGCAAAAGTGTGTGAGTGTGTGTGTGTGTGTGTGTGTGTGTGTGTGTGTGTGTGTGAGTGTGTGTGTAAGACGAGGTCACTGTTGACGTCACCAGAGGGAGGTCAGGTAAGCCGTGGAGGTCTTCACTTGCGTTGCAGAAATTATCGTTTAGTGCATTTCAAGATTTGCAATACTGGTGACGCGTTGAAGTGGGAGGGTGGGGGTGGGGTGGGAGTTGGGGTGAGGGGGGTGGAGAGGAGGGGGATGTACAGGGTGGTGGGGAAGAGAAGGTGGGGGGTGAGGGGGGGGTGGGAGAGAGGGGATGTACAGGGTGGTGGGTGGGAAGAGAAGGTGGGGGGAGGGGGGTGGAGAGAGGGGATGTACAGGGTGGTGGTGGGGAAGAGGTGGGGAGGGGAGGAGAGGGGGATGTACAGGGTGGTGGAATATAAAGGGAAGAGGGGTGGAGAGAGGGGATGTACAGGGTGTAGTGGAAGAGGAAGGGGTGGGGGGTGAGGGGGTGGAGAGGGGGATGTACAGGCAGTGGTACAGAAGGGGGAAAGGGAGGGGTGGAGAGAGGGGGATGTACAGGGTGGTGGTGGGAAACAGAAGGGGGAGGGGGTGGAGAGAGGACAGCAGGGTGGTGGTGGAAGAAGGTGGGGGGGGGTGAGGGGTGGAGAGAGGGGATGTACAGGGTGGTGGTGGAAGAGAAGGTGGGGTGAGGGGGGGTGGAGAGAGGGGGATGTACAGGGTGGTGGTGGAAGAGAAGGGGTGGGGGTGAGGGGGTGGAGAGAGGGGGATGCACAGGTGGTGGTGAAGAGAAGGTGGGGGGTGAGGGGGTGGAGAGAGGGGGATGTACAGGGTGGGGAAGAGAAGGTGGGGTGAGGGGGTGGAGAGAGGGGGATGTACAGGGTGGAAGAGAAGGTGGGGGGTGGAGGTGGAGAGAGGATGTACAGGGTGGTGGGTGGAAGAGAAGGTGGGGGGGGTGAGGGGGGTGGAGAGAGGGATGCAGGGTGGTGGTGGGAAGAGAAGGTGGGGGGTGAGGTAGGGGGTGGGAGAGAGGGGATGTACAGGGTGGTGGTGGAAGAGAAGGTGGGGGGGTGAGGAGGGGGTTTACCTGACCTGACCTATGCTAATCCAACAAGTCAGCCTTATCCAAATTACACTAACCTGATCCAAATTGTCTTAACTTAACCTAACCTACCCCCATTTTCCCATTCTACCTAATTTTTCACTATTTAGGCCGAAGTAAAAAATTTCTACCCATATCAAGAAATTCATTAAAAAATTTACCTACATAACTAAATATAATTTGGAGGTTGTCACATTTGTAGGCCTAGGGAACTGTTCCAACGTTATATGCATAGGCCTATATAAAAAAAAAAAAATTATAGCCACTGGGCTTGTTACCCCCAAGAATCAATATACCTTTTAGGCCTACGGGATAATTTCATCCTTATCCCATAGGCCTACCTAGCACATCACTCGGCACATATAAGAAGTATTGTTACCAAAGTTATTTTATATATTCATAAATTTTGCTTTAAATTTTGTCATCGTGATGGTGGTAGGAATGCTGGTAGTTGTGGTTACTATGTGCAATGTAGATAAATGGTTGGTTGATGATTTTAGGAATTGTGGTGATTGTGGTGGTTTTAAGAGATGATTGTGGTTGTGAGGAGGGACAGTATATGGTGGTAATTGTGGTGAATTTAGAGAGGGTAATTGTGGTAGTTTTAAGGATGATAGTTGTGGTAGTTTTAGGAAAGATAATTGTGGTAGTTTTAAGGATAATAGTGGTAGTTTTAGGAAAAATAATTGTGGTAGTTTTAAGGATGATAATTGTGGTAGTTTCAGGAAAGATAATTGTGGTAGTTTTGAGGATGATAATAGTGGTAGTTTTAGGAAAGATAATTGTGGTAGTTTTAAGGATGATAATAGTTGTAGTTTTAGGAAAGATAATTGTGGTAGTTTTAAGGATGATAATAGTGGTAGTTTTAGGAAAGATAATTGTGGTAGTTTTAAGGATGATAATAGCGGTGGTTTTAGGAAAGATAATTGTGGTAGTTTTAAGGATGATAATTGTGGTAGTTTTAGGAAAGATAATTGGGGTAGTTTTTAAGGATGATAATAGTGGTAGTTTTAGGAAAGATAATTGTGGTAGTTTTAAGGATGATAATAGTTGTAGTTTTAGGAAAGATAATTGTGGTAGTTTTAAGGATGATAATGGTGGTAGTTTTAGGAAAGATACTGTGGTAGTTTTAAGGATGATAATTGTGTGGAAGTTTTAGGAAAGATAATTGTAGTTTTATGATGATAATTGTGTAGTTTTAGGAAAGATAATTGTGGTAGTTTTAGAAAGATAATTGTGGTAGTTTTATGATGATAATTGTGGTAGTTTTAGGAAAGATAATTGTAGTTTTAGGTGATAATTGTGGTAGTTTTAAGGATGATAATAGTTGTAGTTTTAGGAAAGATAATTGTGGTAGTTTTAAGGATGATAATAGTGGTAGTTTTAGGAAAGATAATTGTGGTAGTTTTAAGGATGATAATAGCGGTGGTTTTAGGAAAGATAATTGTGGTAGTTTTAAGGATGATAATTGTGGTAGTTTTAAGGATGATGGCTATTGTGATAGTAATAATGTGATCATGCTGGTAATAATCTACTAGCAAATAAAGCAATGATTGTAGCTAATCATTACCTACTAGTAGATATGGTAGTAGTAATGGTAGTAGTAATGGTACTTATGGTAATTACTAGTCATATATGGTATACCTTTAAAACCTTATAAGTCAATTACCAGTCATATGTACCCGCCAATCCAGTCCAAATACGGTGATGCATATATGGCAACACTGACACTGGTTAAATCAAAACAAACCAATCAATCATATACACGACACCGATGCTATATAAATCCAGTTTATATAACACAATAACACGATAATTTATGTCAAAAAATAATAGATATACTTAAAAACGGCAATGCAAAAGCGATATTTTTAGAGATGCAAAAATAAGACAAAACTCATAGCAGAGACTGTTGCCATCTGGGTGGGTTGTTATATACTGTACATACACCAAGGCAAGGTAGGGTTAAGAGTCCATTCTGTTGGCTACAAAAGAATGCATCCTTGTGAGCGATCATTCAAGGGTTTATTTACAAGAGGGGGGGAGAAGGGGGTAACGAGCAAGAGGGAGAGAGATGGAGAGAGAGAAGGAGGAGGGGGTAGGAGAAAGGGTTAACGAGCAAGAGGGAGAGAGATGGAGAGAGAGAAGGAGGGGGTAGGAGAAAGGGTTAACGAGCAAAGAGAGAACTTTTTAAAAATATATTTGCATGTGTGCCATAATGCGCTCCATTGAGAACGGCCAAGTTTACACAGGAGGGAGGGTTGGGTGTAGGAGGGTGCGACAGCCATGGATATACTGTATGTTTGTAAAGTTTCCCATGCTCTTTCACAGGCGGTAACTCGTTTCCTGTAGTGGCTGCTGGGGGAGTGTTTGGTGATGACTCTCTACTGACCTTGTACACGTTGACGGGGGAGACAATCTCGGCAGGATCGTGGGTATTCGGAGGTAGCAGTGAGGAGGGCGACGTTAAGCTGAGACTGAGATCAGGAGGATGCTGCCTGGAGACTGACGCACTACCTCCATCCTCCCCCGGCTCGCCTCCACACCTCAGCTGACATGAGGCCAAACTCTTCAACTCTCCAAAGCAACGAAAATAAGCGGAGTGGAAGTGGCGGGGGATATTTTTTTTGGGGGGGCTAGTTGCAGAGACTAGATGGTGCAATAGAGGGATGTGCAACTGCTAACTCCAAGTGCAGCTAGACTCTCACGTGTGGCTCATGAGACTAACTCTAGCTCAAGCTGAAAGACTCTGGCTCAAGCTGAAAGACTTTGTTAAGGGTGCCATGGAGGAGTTACGTTTTCTATGCCTCTCTTGTTCTCCTAGACCTACTGCCCCCATCGGTAACTGTGGTAAATAAAGCCACGACCACTGGCTTTACAATCACTAGACCTACTCTAGACCTACTGCCCCCATCGGTAACTGTGGTAAATAAAGCCACGACCACTGGCTTTACAATCACTAGACCTACTTCCCCCATCGGTAACTGTGGTAAATAAAGCCACGACCGCTGGCTTTACAATCACTAGACCTACTACCCCCATCGGTAACTGTGGTAAATAAAGCCACGACCACTGGCTTTACAATCACTAGACCTACTACCCCCATCGGTAACTGTGGTAAATAAAGCCACGACCACTGGCTTTACAATCACTAGACCTACTGCCCCCATCGGTAACTGTGGTAAATAAAGCCACGACCGCTGGCTTTACAATCAATCTTGCTCGAGAACCGGTACACCACAGCCTAACGAGACAAGATCCACCCACACCTCACCATCTGCTCTCTGTAACAAACTACCGCTCACTGCGCATGCGTACTGTGAACAGATCAGCGTCGTGTGCATGAAAGCAGAATAATCTTATACGCAGGTTGTGACGTAGACGATTCCCCAGCAAAAATAAACTAACCAATAAATGTAATCGATTTTAACTTAATACCGATTATTTCCGATTTAACACTTCAGGTAATCTAAGGTAATACATCAATAATATAAATGTAATACACCTGTTGGGTTCACCTCTCATTAGTAATTAACCTGGTCAATTAACGTTGTATTACCTGAGTTAATTGTTTCGACAAAGACCTGTGTTTAATTTCCGTCACGGCAGTGTTGGGTAAAATCCACGTATTTGCGGGCAAGACGTGTAATGATTGGTCATTTTGCAATCAGCACACGTCAAGGCTGATATGGACCAATCATCACACGTCACGGCTGATATGGACCAATCATCACATGTCACGGCAGATATTGACCAATCACCACACGTCACGGCAGATAATGACCAATCACCACACGTCACGGCAGATATTGACCAATCACCACACGCCACAGCAGATAATGACCAATCACCACACGTCACGGCAGATATGGACCAATCACCACACGTAACGGCAGATATGAACCAATCAGAGCAGGTCATGAAAGGGAAAGAACCAATCTGCGTACATCATGCCCGCATAAGCGTGTATTCTGCCCTATCGCCTTCGTGCTAGTGTTGACAATGTTTACTAATTATACAAAAAAGTCTTAAATTATAACTTATGATTCATGGCGGTTCATACGATTCAATTTATCACAGAATCACGAATCGGCATTAAAAAAAAAATCTGATTCGGCATTTAAATGAATCTTGAATCGGCATTAAAAGAATCAAGAATCGGGATTAAGAGAATCAAGAATCATTAAAGGAACCAAGTCAGGATTAAGAGAATCAAGAATCAGCATTAAGGAACCAAGAATCAGATTTAAGAGAATCAGAATCGGCATTAAAGGAACCAGAATCGACATTTTATAAAATCAGGAATTAAATTTTAACAGAACCTGAATCAAGTTGGACAGAATCACCCAATTATCTCATTATATAGAATCCCATAGCCACGTTATTATTTTGTCCTCGACCCTTAACTCAATCACGTTATTGACTAGCTAATCACCGGCCCTTAACACAATCACGTTATTGACTGGCTAATCATCGACCCTTAACACAATCACGTTATTGACTAGCTAATCATGGACCCTTAACTCAATCACGTTATTGACTAGCTAATCACCGGCCCTTAACACAATCACGTTATTGACTAGCTAATCATGGACCCTGAACTCAATCACATTATTGACTGGCTAATCACCGACCCTTAAACGTATTTTAATGATATTTGATGCTTTTATATAATTTGTCTATCATATTTAACTTAATGAAATACTTGACTAAATCACAAGCTTTGTCTCGTGTGTGTGTGTGTGTGTGTGATGGTTGTCTTAGTGTGTATACGAGTGCATGTGTGTGTATTTGTAACATGTATGTATGTATGTAGGGATGTATGTATGTATGTATGTATGTATGTACAATGGTTGTACTGGTGTGTCTACGAATGTGTGTGTGTGTGTGTGTGTGTGTGTGTGTGTGTGTGTGTGTGAGGGGTGTTTTTGTGTATGTATAACTTATATGTATATCCCTATGTACAAATATATGTTTACAGTGTATATGTAAGCGCTGTGTGTGTATGTGTGTGTATGTATGTGTGTGTGTATACTGTATGTAGACCCAGTTATACCCACCTTCAGCTTAAGATTCTGGGCACGAGTATAACCCCAGGGTCGACCAATCAGCTGATCAAACGTGAGTGACTTGGGCAACATCTTCACTACAAGACGTCTACACACCCCTACAAAAAAAATACTCCCACAAATACAACACTCATACACCCTAGAGCTACAACACCCTCATACACTCCCCCATACATCTTCCTGGGGTGTATGAGTATTGTATGGAATGAGGTATTGTGTATTTTTAAGAGCGAGTCTGGACGGAGCCACAACAGCTGTTTTTTGTTTACATGTCTTCAAGAACGTGTTTGAACATGTATAAACGTGTCAAGGTTATGTTATTCCTTTGGACGGCAAATCTAGGACGTTTTTTTTTCTGTTTTCTATATTTTTCTTTCTTTCTTTCTTTCTTCAATTTCCTTCCTTGTGTTTATTTTAAATTCATTCAATTGTGGACTTTACGTAATGTTTATTTTTTTCCAAATTTTCAATTTTTTTCAGTGTTATTCGATTTATTTACATTGGGTATTTACAGGGTTTTTTTAATGTGCTTTTATCAATCTCATTTACATTCACTTTCAGTATCTTTTTATCAACATTTACAAACAAATTTACCCAGTTTTATTCCATCAAGGCTTTTTTTTATTTTTTTTTCACAGTTTTTCAAGTTATTTATTTCCTTTATTCACTTTACGAATAAATTCTTTTACATTATATTTAGACTAAGAATTTCATGGCATTTACAGTATGTTTCATATTTTTTTTTTACAATTAAACCTTTTCCATATTTTCAAGTCATTTACAATCACTTATTTACAAACTTTCAAGGCATTTAGTCAAAAATATTTTCCGATTTTAATTTTTTTTACAATCTAACTTTTATCATAATTTCTAACGTAACTTTTTTTTTCCAATTTTCAAGTCGTTTACAGTTTTACATTTATATTTTTACACTGTTTACATGTTCACTTGGGATATTTTTTTTAGACAGTTTACACTGCTATTGATTTACAGTTCAGTGTTACCCAGTGTTAAATCAGTGTGTCTTCACATTTACACTGACAGTGATCTTGAACGTAAGTGAATACACCTATATATGAAGAATCATTTACGAATCAATAAAGAGATTAGAAAAAATATATACGAATCATTAAAGACAAGGATCATTTTATACGAACCATTAAAAAATAAAGACAAATTTACACGAATCATTACAATAAATTATATACGAATCATCATTAAAAATCTATAGACGAATCACTTAACAATATTGAGAAAAAATACGATTCATTAAAAAAATCGATAAAATATTACAAATTAAACCGAATCAAACTGAAAATACATACGAATCAATAACTACATTACAAACACACACACGAATCATTCAATTATCGACATTTATTTTACACGAATCATTTAAAACTGAAAAATTATTTACGAATCAACTAAAAAAAAGTATTGGTAGTACTGTAGTGATGTTTACCTCTCACCCTTATGGCCCAGGTTCGATCCCTTCCCTCTTGGGCCACATGTGAGTATAGTGCTATCCAGGGAGTGACAAACTTACATACATACATACACATACATACACATATACATACATACATATATATACAAACATACTACATACATACATACACAGACATACATATACAAACATACATACACACATACATACATGCCAGGTATTTTTCAGGTACTATCCTCCTCAACTACCTGGTGTAAATTTAATCACCTAATTAATCAACCTTCAGGTAATTAACCACCCCAACAGGTATAATTAATTAACCCTTCCTCTTTATCAATTTGAGACTGATTATATTATGTAATATACTAATCATATAATTTTCTATAATGTATATAATTTCTGTTGTATAATGCAATATGTAGCCGTTTTTTCTCCCGTTAAACAGGTGATGGTATTGGTCTGTTATATGTAACGGAATTAAAACGCAAAAACTCAACAGAAAGCAACGGAAACGGTCAAGATGGCAACAGAAACACGACCACAACGGCAACAGAAACACGACCACAACGGCAACAGAAACGACCTTAATGATACGACTTGGTGAATCAGGAGAGAGAGATGAAAGTCAATCGACAATTTTGAAAACATCAAGAGCGAGCAAGACCTTGACTACACACACACACACACACACACTCATCTCCGTCTCATACAAGCCAATCACAGGAGCGTAATAGCAACATGAATTGACGTGTTTCATATGACAGCCAATCAGCAGAGCGTAAAAGCAACATGAACCGACGCGTTTCATAAGGAAAGCCAATCAGAAGCGTGTAACGTGTGTTTACAAATATAAAAACATGACGTGGTATTTCTCACAACATCAGGTAAGGAAATAAAATTACAATGAATCAAAACAAACCACGAGAATAAAGATTTGATCAGCTGATGAATCAAAACAAACCACGAGAATAAAGATTTGATCAGCTGATGAATCAAAACAAACCACGAGAATAAGGATTTGATCAGCTGATGAATCAAAACAAACCACGAGAATAAGGATTTGATCAGCTGATGAATCAAAACAAACCACGAGAATAAAGACTTGATCAGCTGATGAATCAAAACAAACCACGAGAATAAGGATTTGATCAGCTGATGAATCAAAACAAACCACGAGAATAAAGATTTGATCAGCTTGAATAAAAACAAACCACGAGAATAAGGATTTGATCAGCTGATGAATCAAAACAAACCTCGAATATACGAACCAATAAACAAACAACAATCAACCACAATATTCAACCATACAGGAATATACACAGACCATTACAAGACATATATACCTTAATACTATATAAAACAGCCACCACGACAACCACGACAAATCACAACCACAAACCACAACAACCACGACAACCACGACTACGAAACACTTAACACTTATAAAATGACACGTATAAACTTTGACACTTAAAATTGAAACCTATATGCATTAAAATTTACAAAAGTGTAACATGAATACGTCAAAATATACATAACGAAACATACATACGTCAAAATATACATAACGAAACATACATACGTCAAAATATACATGGATTTGAATTCGTAAATACGTATATACTGAAACATGCTGTATTAAAACGAATATACATAGAAATACACATAGCACAGATACCAACGATAAAACGTGCAGACATGAAACGTAAATATACACAGAAACTCGTTAACTAATACACTGTGAAACCTGTATGTTGTTTCTCCTCTAACTTGAAACTGTGATATACATTTTTACTGAAGCTTTTATGGTGAAATACATATACATACATACATACATACATACATACATACATACATACTGTACATACATACACATTACCTTCCAAATCTCCTAAAACCACAATTCTTGAGAGAGAGAGAGAGAGAGAGAGAGAGAGAGAGAGAGAGATGATAATTTCCACGTTCGAAAATAAAAAATAAATAAATAAATAAATATAAATCAAAGAAAAAATCAGTTAAAAAAGACAATTTTTATTCCATTTTCCTAATTTAAAAACCCGATTTTTTTTTACTAATTTTTACAATTCAATTTGGCATACGAAGATGGAATAACCAGAGAATTGAAGACGAAAGACGATACGAAGGATAAATGGGATAACTTGATGATTTGAGGGGGGGGGGATAGAAAGTTTGGATAAATAATGTTAAAAAAAGAGGAAATTCTATGACAATGACCTATGACCTCTGACCTAGTGACTTCCTTCCGTTTACCATCCTCCTTTCCTTCTCCCCTTCTTTCCTTCCTACTCTTCCTCTCTTCTTTTTATCATCCTCCTCCTTTCTGCCTCTTTCCTTCAATCCCTTTCATCATTTTTTTCCTCTCCCTCATTTGTGTCCTTCCCTTCCTGCTCTTTCTCCCCTTCACACACACACACACACACACACACACACACACACACAGGTTAAAGCCCCTCAAGTCAATGCTCCAGGTAAAGTATGGGCCATTTTCCAGATGGTCTGCTGGTTGAGTACGGGAAATAGCCTTTGAAGATAGGGCGATTAAGGATGAGGCCACTGAAGCTAGGGCCATGTAGGGCCATTGAGGGTGAGGCCATTGTAGGTAAGGACATGTAGGGGGCATTACGGATGAGGCCATTGAAGGTAGGGCCATGTAGCAGTCAATGGGGATGAGGCCACTCAGTGAGACCATTAACGATAAAGCCATGGTACACAAGGTCATGGTACACAAAGCCAAGGTACACAGGGCCATGGCACACAGGGCCATGGTACACAGGGCCATGGCACACAGGGCCATGGCACACAGGGCCATGGCACACAGGGCCATGGTACACAGGGCCATGGTACACAGGGCCATGGCACACAGGGCCATGGCACACAGGGCCATGGTACACAGGGTCTTGGCACACAGGGCCATGGTACACAGGGCCATGGCACACAGGGCCATGGTACACAGGGCCATGGCACACAGGGCCATGGCACACAAAGCCAAGGTACACAGGGCCATGGCACACAGGGCCATGGTACACAGGGCCATGGTACACAGGGCCATGGCACACAGGGCCATGGCACACAGGGCCATGGTACACAGGGCCATGGCACACAGGGCCATGGCACACAGGGCCATGGTACACAGGGCCATGGTACACAGGGCCATGGCACACAGGGCCATGGTACACAGGGCCATGGTACACAGGGCCATGGCACACAGGGCCATGGCACACAGGGCCATGGCACACAGGGCCATGGCACACAGGGCCATGGTACACAGGGCCATGGCACACAGGGCCATGGCACACAGGGCCATGGCACACAGGGCCATGGCACACAGGGCCATGGCACACAGGGCCATGGCACACAGGGCCATGGTACACAGGGCCATGGTACACAGGGCCATGGCACACAGGGCCATGGCACACAGGGCCATGGTACACATGGCCATGGTACACAGGGTCTTGGCACACAGGGCCATGGTACACAGGGCCATGGTACACAGGGCCATGGCACACAGGGCCACGGTACACAGGGCCATGGCACACAGGGCCATGGTACACAGGGCCATGGCACACAGGGTCTTGGCACACAGGGCCATGGTACACAGGCCCATGGCACACAGGGCCATGGCACACAGGGCCATGGTACACAAGGCCATGGCACACAGGGTCTTGGCACACAGGGCCATGGTACACAGGGCCATGGTACAGGGTCATGACACAGGCCATGGCACACAGGCCATGGAGACAGGGCTGGGCGGCACATGTGGCCATGGCACACAGGGCCAAGGGCACACAGGGCCATGTGGCAGGGCTGCCAGGGTCTGCGCAAGTGGCACAGAAAATATGGCACACAGGGCCAAGTGGTACACAGGCCATGGCACACAGGGTCTGGCACACAGGCCATGGCACACAGGGCTATGGTACAGAGGGCTGGGTACAGGGCTATGGTACACAGGGCCATGGTACACAGGGCCAAGGTACACAGGGCCATGGTACACAGGGCCATGGTACACAGGGCCATGGCACACAGGGCCATGGTACACAGGGCCATGGTACACAGGGCCATGGTACACAGGGCCATGGCACACAGGGCCATGGCACACAGGGCCATGGTACACAGGGCCATGGCACACAGGGCCATGGTACACAGGGCCATGGCACACAGGGCCATGGCACACAGGGCCATGGTACACAGGGCCATGGCACACAGGGCCATGGTACACAGGGCCATGGTACACAGGGCCATGGCACACAGGGCCATGGCACACAGGGCCATGGTACACAGGGCCATGGCACACAGGGCCATGGGCAAGGCACACAGGGGCTGGCGGG